ACAGGAGTTAATCAAATATTGAAAATTTTTAAGTGGAACTGACATGGGAAATGACAACTCTCTTTTTCAATTAACTGAAAACAAGAAATGAAATTATTCAATGAAACAAGGTGTTTAAATTTAGAATTTACTAAAACTTCCTTTTGGTACTGTAATTCCATTTAAACTGTAATTACACCTGGGGTGAAAACCCCTAAATATTAGAATTTTACTACTGTTAAGCCTGGAAAATTAAGGTGATAGGATAAAAAAAAAACCCTACCAAATTTCAAAGCAAAAAAGAAATCACAGAATGTTCTTCTACCAATTTGTCAGCTCTTGGGAATGTATTTTTTAAGAGGAAAATGAGCTTTTTCCAGAAACACCAGAATTTAGTCCTCAGGAATAACAAAGAAAATGGACCAACTATCTTAACCTACTATAGGTATTTAAAATCTTGTGCTCTTACTAATTCAGTTTAAAAAATACTGAGATGAAGTAATACGACAATGGATTGTGGAAAATTATTTCATTATACCATACTATGTAATTTCTTAATTCCACACAATCTATCATCATGAATTGTTGTCACAGAATATTGTATATTGCATTTTACAGTTCTGACAAATCAGTATTACTAAATAGGAATAGAATTCTGCAGTTCATATTGGTAATTCTTCAGACAACCAAGGTCCTAAATACAGGTTCTGTTAATAGTACTTTGCCAAGGAGAAAACTCAGCTTATGGTATTTTAAAAACTCATTTATACTTCTAACTGACTGTAAAAGTAGTACTAATACAGTTATGACAGAACTTATAACCAGAAGCTGCTGCATCATATGAATTTCAAAGCTCCAGTCCTTAAATTGTAATCAAGTTGCTGCAGAAGTTATGCCTGGTAACTCACCTACCCAGTCTGGAGCTGAAAGGTCTCATTGTCAACTTCCTTAGTTACCTGTTGCATAAACTTCCCCAGGGCTAGAGAGAAACAAGCGCTCCCTGGGTCTGCGACTCTGAAATCCCTGCCATGCAGGTATCACAATGTCCATTACTCTGCTGTTACTGGCAAAGTGGCCTGCGAGAAAGATGCTTCCATTTTATTTATTTTTGGTACTAATTACAGTAATTCAAAATTTCAAAATAAAAAAGTGCTCCTTCAAGAAAAGTCAGTCAGACGAATCAGACGAAAAGACCTTTAGATGAGACGGGATTTTGTCCAGTGACTAAAGGAATGTTTTGTAAAATGTACCTATTAAACTTAAAAAAAAAATGTAGAGCCATTTTAAAAAAGAGACCAAATTGTGAAAGATGTCAAGGAGCTAATTTCCACTGAGGGTAAAGAACATGCTTAACTTTTTATAGCTTGCACCAGTTCATCTGAAATCAAGAACAGTACCAGTTGCAAATTTTGTTGTGGCGCAAAAGACTAACGATTATGTGGCAGAAGTGGGATAAAAATCTCAGAGATGCCTACCGGACCACAAGTTGATACACTCCATCTGACATAAGGCTGCTGCCTTTGCTTACGTACCTGTCGTTAACAAAGAGCAGTAACGCCTACAAGTAAACTCACCCTAAATACAGTCAAGACAGTGATTCATTGTGCCATCTTAGAGATTAGCAACAACTAAATGGATCGCAGTAACCACGTGTTCAAGAGGACTCAGAAAAACTGCTTTTTACAGTTTATTAAGAAGTTTAAACGTTTTTCATAACTTCCTTAATCCACAGTGATTAGACAAGAGTTGCTCGACAGATTCCCTGTCTTCTATATTGAAGCAAGCAACCAAAAAAAGCAACACACACACAAAATCAAAGCTTGAAAAAAAAATATCTATTAAATTCAAGAAAAATACGGTACTTGGTCCTGTGTAGAGCACCCGGCACCGGAGGCGGGGCTGCTCACGCAGGCCGCAGCTCCCAGGCCAGCGCACCCCAGGGAAACCGGGCAGGGGGGGCCACCCCACGGACAGAGCGCTCCCACGGGCAGCCCCGGGAGACCGGGGAAGGGCCCACAGGCAGCACCGCAACCGCCGGCCGGGCTCCGACGCCCTTCCCGTGCCTGGCCGCTTCCCGCCGCGGACTCCCCGGCTT